AGATTAACAGAAATACCAGAGGAATATAGGGACCTTGCTGAAGTCTTCAGTGAGGAGAGGGCGAATGAGCTTCCCCCCCACCGACCCACAGACTGTACCATTGAATTCAAGCCTGGGGCAAAACTCCCGAAGCCCAGATTATACTCCATGAGCCCAAAGGAGAAGGAGGAAATGGAAAGATTTATAAAAAAAAACCTGGAGAGAGGTTTCATTGAGCCAGCCAAGCCTAAAGTGGCTGCCCCGGTCCTTTTTAGAGAGAAGAAGGATGGCTCTTTACGTTTATGCGTGGATTATAGGGCCCTGAATACAATCAGTGAAAGCAACCTATACCCGCTGCCCCTCATGAAAGACATGCTGTCACACCTATCGAAAGGGAAAATTTTTTCTAAACTAGACCTAAGGGAAGCTTACTATCGCGTGAGAATCAAGGAAGGGGACGAATGGAAGACTGCATTTAACTGCCCATGGGGTGCTATCAATTCAAAGTCTTGCCATTTGGATTACAAGGGGGCCCTGCAGTCTTTATGCAATTAATCAATGACGTTCTAAGGGAGCACCTGTTTAAGGGGGTCCTTGTTTACTTGGACGACATTCTTATCTTTACTGAAACAAAAGAAGAACACGTCAAACTTGTCAGAGCGGTTTTAAAGAAGCTGCGAGCCGCTCACCTATATGCCAAACTCTCAAAATGCGAATTCCACCAGGAAAGGATAGACTACCTAGGCTATCGCATATCCCCACAGGGCATTGAAATGGACCCGGAGAAGGTCAAAGCAGTACTAAATTGGGCACCACCCCGCACAAGAAAGCAACTACAAAGTTTCCTGGGCTTTGCAAATTTTTACCGCCAATTCATCCCCTCATTTGCACAGATAGCCTTGCCCCTCACTAACTTACTAAAAACGAAGGGAACATCCTCAGTAAAACCTAGCCAGCCACTAACATGGACAATGGAGTGCCAAGCAGCGTTTGAGAGACTAAAGAGACTTTTTTCTGCCGAACCAGTACTAAGGCACCCAGACATGGACAAGCCCTTCATAATACAGGCAGATGCAAGTGATGTGGCAGTGGGGGCTGTGCTATTACAAGAAAATGATGATGCAGTATTGCAACCCTGTGCATATACATCCAAGAAACTCACGGAAACAGAACAGCGCTGGCCCGTATGGGAGAAGGAGGCTTATGGGATACGTTGGGCATTACTCACGTGGCGACAGTTCCTGGAAGGCAACAAAATCCCCTTCCAGGTGTGGACTGATCACAAAAATTTAGAAGCCCTGAAAACTTCCAGGAAACTCAATCCCAAACAAGCCCGCTGGTCCCAGCATTTTCACCAATTCCAATTTAAGCTCAAACATTTACCAGGAAGAAAGAACTTCCTGGCAGATGCACTATCTCGCATGCCCCAATATAACAGCGCACGAACCACAGACTCTAGACCAATAATGGCAGAGTCACAACTGGCAGCACCAGTAACCACAAGAACCCAAGCCAAAATAAAACCACAACTGGACAGCCAAACTGGGATTGAATTCAGAAAAAGTTTGGAAACAGATGAATGGTTCCAGAAAAACAAAACATGTGTGCACAATGAGAGACGGATTGCCTTGGGTAGGGGAAAAGTTATATATACCAACAACTCAAAGAGTAACTTTCATGCAGCTTTGCCATGACACAAAATCAGCAGGGCATTTTGGATTTGTAAAAACTTTACACTTAATTAAACGGCAATTTTGGTGGCCATCAATAAAAAAGGACATAGAAAGTTATGTTGCCAGCTGCCCAACCTGTGCATCAGCAAAGAGGTTGCAAGGGAAATCGCCAGGACTATTACAACCAGTGGCAAGTCCCTCAGCCCCCTGGAGGGAAATAGCCATGGATTTTATAGTGGAATTGCCAGAAAGCAATGGAAATAATGTTATCTGGACAGTCACGGACCTATTTTCCAAACAGGTGCACTTTATCCCTTGCCAAAAAATTCCCACTGCAAAGGCCTTAGCAAAACTTTTCATCCAGCACATTTACAGATTGCACGGGGCACCCCAACGCATCATCTCTGATAGGGGAGTGCAATTTACGTCTGCATTTTGGAAGGAATTTTTATCCCTCTTAGGGACCACTCAGGGATTGACATCTAGCCACCACCCTCAAGGGGATGGACAAGCGGAACGGTGCCAGTCGGTACTTGAGCAATATTTGAGATGTTTTTTAAATTTCCAACAGAGTGATTGGACGGACTTACTTCCTTTTGCAGAAGTTGCCTACAATAATGCAGTCCACTCCAGCACAGGCTACACTCCTTTTCAAATAGCCAACGGCCAAAGTTTCAACCCTATGCCAGAGTTAACCCCAAAAGAACCAACGATCCCTTCACTGAAAGAATGGATGGAAAACCTACAAAACACCTGGCCAATAGTCAGAAAATCACTAGATGAAGCTAGGCGGGCATACAAAGCACAAGCCGATAAAAAAAGGGTTGAGCCTACACCATTCATTATAGGAGAAATGGTGTACTTATCTACAAAATACCTAAAGTCCCTACCGCCCTGTAAAAAACTTGGACCAAAATATATAGGACCTTTTCCAATTAAAAGAATCATAAATCCAGTAACAGTATAATTAGAATTACCCAAAAATCTCAGGCAAATACACCCAATTTTTCATTGCAGCTTGCTGAAAAGAGAGCATCAGTCACCTCTACGGCCAAAAATCCCCCCCCACCACCTCCAATCATAGTGGAGGGTGAACAACACTTCGAAATAAAGGAAGTCCTTGACTCTAGGAGATATCATGGAGCAACTCAGTACCTAGTTGCCTGCAAACACCTCCCTACCTCACAAAACGAGTGGGTCTATAAACGTCATGTCAGAGCCCCGAAACTATTGAAGAAGTTTCACACAGAGTATCCCAACAAGCCTGACTAACTTTTATACCTGTTTTGTTTTCTTGCAGGTGGATCTCTCTTATTGTTAAGAGGGGCCGGATGTCAGAATCCAATTATATTTCATCTTTAATTATCAAATCTAGAAACTCCCAATTCTGCCTTCTCTGGATTCTGCCATCAGAGGGAGAGAAGGGGGAGAACAAAGGGGCTTTATGGCCCTCACTTCCTTCAGTACACTTCAAAGAGCTGAATGCTGAATGTGTGTTTATTGTAACATCAAAGCGTTAACACTAGAGAACCTTATCATAACAAAGCAGGATACTTGCCTTTCATGTAGTTACCTGAAGTCTCCATCCAGACGGAAGAAAGAAGAAAGGGGGTGGAATTGTGATACTTGAAACTATCACTGGAAGGGGGGTTGATTGGGTGGGACTACTGGGGAACCCCTTAAAACCTTGAATGGAAGAGCTTGAACCCCAAGTCCTGTCTAGCATGCCTGCAACCATTTTCTCTTAATAAAGGATTCCTGTTGGAAGAATTATTCCAAGAGTTCTGTCTTCTTAAGATGCAAAGTGGGGTGGGTCCTTACAGAGAGAGAGAACTCATGCATAGCATCCTCTATTTCTTTTTAATTAAACTCTTCAATCAATCCCCCCTCACGCACACACGCGCACAAGTTTTATAGCTCCCAATGTTTTCTTTTCTCTGGGAAACAGGTCCAAGTGGCTCTTTGAGTATTTAAGGTTGCCAACCCCTACCATATACTATACCTGTACATTTGGTTTTTCTTGCCTAAATGTAGAACCTTACTTTTTTCACCACTGAATTTCATTTTGTTACATAGCGCCCAGTGTTCAAGTCTGTCTATTTAATTGTATCTTAAGCCTGTCTTCTGGAGTGTTGGCTATTCCTTCCAGCTTGGTGTCATCTGCAAATTTGATGAGTTTCCCATCTATCCCCTCGTCCAAATTGTTGATGAAGATGTTGAAGAGCACTGGGCCCAGAACAGAGCCCTGGGGCACCCCACTAAACATTTCCCTCCATGTGGATGCAGTTCCATTGAGGACCACATGCTGAGTATGGCCAGTCAGTCAGCTACAAATCCATCTGGTGGTAATGTTGTCTAACCCACATTTTTCTATCTTATCAAGTAATAGGTTGTGATCTACTTTATCAAATGTCTTACTGAAGTCCAAGTAAATTATATCCGTAGCATTCCTCTGATCCACTAATTTTGTCACTTGGTCAAGGAATGCAATAAGATTTGTCTGGCATGATCTGTTTTTGACAAACCCATGTTGGCTTTTAATAATGACTTTGTTTGCCCCTAGGTGTTCACTGATTCATTGTTTATCTTTTCCAGAATCTTCTCAAGTATTGAGGTCAGGCTGATAGGTCTGTAATTTCCTGGATCCATTTCCCCCCCTTTTTTGAAGATGGGAACTACATCAGCTCTTTTCCAGTCCTCTGGTAGTTCCCCAGTGCTCCAGGATCTTTGAAAAATATAGTTCAGTGGTTCTGAGATCACATCTGCCAGTTCCTTGAGAACCCTGGGGTGTAATCCATCTGGTCCTGGTGATTTGAACTCATCTAGGCTGGACAGGTGCTCACTTACAATTTTCTTGCCTATCTTGTGTTTCTATTCTGTTTTTTATGGCACTATTTTTGATAGGTTGGTCTGTTTTTTCCTTTTGTGTAAAGACAGATGCAAAAAACGAGTTAAATAATTCTGCTTTCTCCCTGTTGCTTGTCACCTCCTTGCCACTTTCCCCCAGTAATGGACCAATCATTTTCTTCACTTTTTTCTTGTTTTTCACATGTTGAAAGAAGCTTTTTTTGTTATTTTTGACTTTGGTCGCAAGCCTTAGTTCATTTTGAGCCTTAATTCAATTATTTTATATACATTATATCAGATGTAGGCAATTAAGTTTTCCAATGGGCCATATGAGAAAGAGACTATTGTGGAGGGCCATTGGCCCACCACCCTGTCACTGCCAATGTTCTGCCTGCCATAGTTGCTGCCGAATGCACTAGGACTGCCTGCGGGATGAATGTAGCCTACAGGCCATAAAATGTCCAGGTCTGCAGTATATGATATTGTACATAAAATTGTTACCTCTCCCAAAGAAAAATAGTGTCGTGGTATTTGGGAATCAGGATAAACATTCTCTAAATACCAGGAAAAAGGTTTGCACTGTAGCTTCTGTCTTAATCCAAGTCGTGAAGAAATGTCTCCATAATCCACCTTTGTAACTCCTTTAAAGAAGTATATATTACTGTTAAAGTCTGCCAGAGAACCACAATATTATTTTTTCTTTTGTACAGTTTTAGTGAAATATAAATACAGCATAAATCATATTACTTCAAAACACCAATCTTTACAGATAATCTTTATAAAGGACTCTGAAAAATTATAATAAATTGGATTTTAAACTGAATATTAGGCATGGACACAAATTTGGCTTAAAAAGTAATTCTTTAATTCAGCCTGTCAGCCCTGCCCTAGCTGGCTCTCTAGGAAAGAAAAAACGCTTGACTCCATCTGAAGGTTTCAAGGATCTTTTACTAGAGACAACTGGATACAGCGAAAGCAAGGCTAAATCTGAAGAAAACCCACACAAATTGCTACATTGTTCCAAACCTTTAGCCCTCCCCCATTTGACTAGTTTATCAGTGTCCAATAAGATGGTAGCTGGATATTTTAAGAACAGGACACTTCAAGAAGCAGTTAATATTCCATTCCCAGATCCTGGGCATTCAAAATTGTTTTTAGACCTCTGCTTCCTATTTGCAATAGTCTCCCCCTTTCCCCCCTTTTACAACAGGCCCTCTTACCCTCCCACCCTCTCCCTTTCCAGATTGTGACAGGTGGTGGAGAAGGCAGCCTAACATGCTGTCCCCGTTCCCAGGGACATTAGTCCTGGAAAGAGAAAGAGAGTGTTTTGTGCAGATATTAGTTATGGAATCTCTTGAGTAGTCTGGGAGCAGGCACATGCCATGCATCTACCCATTCTATTTCAGAAGGGGAAAATGTTTCCAGGCTACTAAGAATTGAACTTTTCCTCTGTGCTTCCAGGCATCAAGAATGTTTTCAACTTCAAAATGCTGTTTCCCTTCAATCAGGATGGGGTTGGACATGCCAGTTAGTGCCAGTTTCAACAAGCTGTAATGAAATATTGGATGAATTTGTCTTAGGTCTTTGGGAAGTGTTAGCTGTACTGTGATAGAGTTGATGATTTTAGAAATGGGAAAAGGGCCAATGTATCTGGGCTCCAGTTTTCTGGACCTGTATGTCTAGATTGGAGGTATTTAGTGGAAAGGCAGATAGATTGTCTCCAATTTTGAAATCCTTTGATTGAGTACATTTTTTGTCAGCAGTATTGTGTGCAGTACGTGTTTCATCTAGCACTCTATGGACCAGGGCCAGGTGTTTTGTAGTTGGGTGATCCAATCAGCCAATGAGGTGGTCTGGGATGTATCTTGGGGCAGCTCCGGCATGGCCACAAATTCTTGTCCCATAGCCACTTTAAAAGGGATGAAACCAGTGCTATTATGCAGGGAGGTATTATATGCTACTTCTGCTAATGGGAGGCGATCCGACCAACTGTCCTGCTGGTAATTAATACAATATCCTAAATATAACCATTTTAGTTTGTTCACAGGCTCCATTGGTCTGTGAATGATGGAAACTGCTGAGTTCCTACTTGATGCCTAATAATTTTAAAAATGCATGCCAAAATAGTGAAATGAATTGAACTCCCTGAACTCCTTATGTACTCTGGTGGCCCATGAAGCCTGTAGATGTGCTATACGAAGAGCTTAACTAGAATGAGAGTTGAGGGGATCTCTAAGCAGGTATGTCACAATTCAAATAATGGAGTTTCCTGAGCTTTCAGGAAGCTCAACAATGAATTTCATAGACATTTCCTTCCAAGGTGCCTGGGGTCTTGACACAGGCTGTAGCAGTCCTGGCACATTTCCTGGACGTCGTTTTGCTGTTGCACATACTGGGCAACTATCCACATATGCCTCAATGATTTGTTTCAGGGATGGTCACCAGAATTGGTGTTTTATCAGGTGCAGGGTTTTCATGAACCCAAAATGTCCTACTGTCTTTGAGTCATGATTCTTTTCCAGGACCAGTCTGCTGGTTTTTTTGGGACATATAGTTTTTCTCCAACCCACACACAGCCTTCATGCAAAGTGAAGTCATTCGTATGGTTGTTAAACCAGTCATCATCTTTTAAGGCTGATTTTAGCACTTAAATTACTTGGTTAGTCATGGACTCAGGCTGCTTTGCTTGAGCTCTTGTAACAACTGGAGCTGCTATTTACCATGAGGGGATAACTGGGCAAACAAGTTCTAGTTTAGCGTTGTTGTATTGTGGCATTCTAGATAAGGCGTCTGCCCAAAAATTACAGCCCCCTGGGATATAGCATAAAGGGGAAAATTGAAACGGTTAAAGAACTATGCCCGGGGAGCGTTGCAAAGTAAGCAAACTTACAAAAAGGGGATCTCTCTCTCTCTCTCTCACATACACATACGCACACATGGGAAGATGGTGTGCAGGCAGGCGAGAGAGCAAACTTGCAGATTAGTTTTGTGGTCTATTCTTGCCTCCTCCCTCCCTAAAATCCAGGCAATAATAAAACTCTTTGGATTGAATGGGAAGTTAGGAATTGGTGTGAGTTGAAATTAAAAGGCCGAGTCAACTCCCTACCACCAATTATTTTGTCGGAGACAAAAATACTTCACTTCATCTACTCTTTTATAATTTAATCCAGCCTTACTAATATATTTTGGGTGTCATGAGCCACAGTTCCCATCATCCTGTGGCTATGCTGGCTAGAAATGCAATGCCTTATTTTCTCTGCAGTATGCGCCTAGGAGGCAGTAGGTCTGTGGAATTTAGATGTATTTAAACATTTGTTTCTTTTGCCTAATTTATTAAATCAACATCTAATTTGAAATTAAAAATTTCTGAGAAATCCAGGGTGGTTTACAAGAAAACTCTCTTGTAACAGCTATTGTAAAGCATCACAAGCACTGCTTAAAACAATATTAAAAGTGTATTTTAAGAAAGAAAAATATTAGTAGTAATTTATTTAGTGCTCTTTGACCATAAAATGTGTTGTTGTTTTACATATGCCTGGCTGAACAGTGTGTTTGGAGTTGCCTCTAAACGGGTGAGGGTGCACTGTTCATATTTTCCTTGGGAGAAAGTTCTATAATGGGGGTGCTGTCTCTGAGAAGGCTCTGCTTGTGGCCACTGTTGTATAAACCAAACCAGGGGGACCAATTGGTCTAAATGGATGGTAAACATAGATGATTAGGGGTCTGGAGGCTAAAACATATGACAAATGTTTGTGGGAATTGGGTATGTCTAGCTCAGGGGTAGGCAACCCAAAACACTTAAAGAGCCACTTGGACCCGTTTCCCACCAAAAACAAAACACTGGGAGCCGCAAAACCATTTTGATATCTAAAATGAAAATAACACTGCATATATCCTTTTTTACCTTTATTATAGGTGTGTGTGTGTGTTTGTGTGTGTGTATGTAAGTGTGTGTGTGTATATATATATATGTATATGTATATGTATGTATGTTTTCTGAGGTTTTCGCGGGTATTTGTATGTAGGTCTTTGGTTGTTCGGGTTTTCTCCCGCGTAAAATTGGAAGTGTCTTGGCGACGTTTCGACGAAGTCCCATTCGTCATCTTCAGGCTGGTGTTTTCAGCTTCGTGCTTCGAGCAGCAATGTGTGGTCTTAGCTGTTTCTTCCTTTTAACTGCCAGTGGGGGTATGAACTGATTGGGTGGGAGCTTGGCTGTGTTCTGATTGGGTGGAGGTGTGTTCTGAATGGTTAGGGGCTTGGCTGTGCTCTGATTGGCTGGGGGAGTGTTCTGTTTGGTTGTGCTCAGGTTAGTCTGAGTTGCAGAGGGGTTTGAGATTTTGGGCTGCCTTGTTATTTTTGGCTTCGCGTTCGTGGTCGTGCTTCCTCTTCATGGAGGGTGTCAGTTTGCTTCATGTATGGATTGGAGGGGTTTAAAGTGGCTAATGATGCAGCTGTGGTCTGGCTTCTGGTTTGTGGTCGTGCCTCGTCATCGGTGTGGCTTTGGGTTTGTTTTTTGCGTGGATGTGTGATGGTGACCTCCTGTGTGGTTTTTGTGAGTGTGGGTCTGGTATCATTTTTTGTGTTAGGGAATCATTTGTCAATAAGGGGGGTTTCCAAATGGCTGGTAGGCGGGAGGTATCACCTCGCTTGTTCATGCTGTGTGGGCGTTTTTCTATCTTGATGGCTTCTCTGATTATTCTGTTATTAAAATGTTCACTTTTGGCAATGGTTCTGGTATTTTTAAAGTCAATTTCATGTCCTGTGGCTTTAAGGTGTTGGACCAGGGAAGATGTTGGTTCCTCTTTTTTGACTGAGTTCTTATGTTCTTCAATGCGTGCACTTATTCTTCTGTTGGTTTGTCCGATGTATGTGGTGGGACAAGTGGTGCATGGGATTTCGTATACTCCTTGATTTTCTAATTCAATTTTATCTTTGGGGTTTCTAAGGATGGTGGATATTTTTCTGTTTGTGCAGAATGCTGTTTTGATGTTGTGTTTATGGAGGATCTTACTGATTCTGTCTGTGGTGCCTTTTATGTATGGGAGGAGGGCTTTGCCGTTTTCTTGTTCTTTGTCTTGGATTTTGGTGGGGGTTTCTTTTTGGATTAGGTTTGTAATCTTATTTCTATGGAATCCATTGGATGTTAGTACATTGGTGAGAGTGTGTAGTTCGGGTTTTAGGTGTTGTTCGTCAGCTAAGCGTTTTGTTCTGGGGATGAGTGTCTTGGCTACAGAGTTGATCTGTGCTGGGTGGTGGTGTGAGAGAGCGTGCAGATAGCGGTTTGTCTGGTAGATGGTGTGTCCTAGGGAGCCATTGGATTTCTTGTAGACTAAGACATCCAGGAAGGGAAGTTGGTTGTTAGCTTCTGTTTCCATGGTGAACTGTATTTTGAGGTGTAGGCTGTTGAGGTATGTGAGGAAGTTGTCCAGTTTTTCTTTCCCATGTCCCATCTACCAGAAGAAAACACACACAAACCGCTATCTGCACGCTCTCTCACACCACCACCCAGCACAGATCAACTCTGTAGCCAAGACACTCATCTCCAGAACAAAACGCTTAGCTGACGAACAACACCTAAAACCCGAACTACACACTCTCACCAATGTACTAACATCCAATGGATTCCATAGAAATAAGATTACAAACCTAATCCAAAAAGAAACCCCCACTAAAATCCAAGACAAAGAACAAGAAAACGGCAAAGCCCTCCTCCCATACATAAAAGGCACCACAGACAGAATCAGTAAGATCCTCCATAAACACAACATCAAAACAGCATTCTGCACAAACAGAAAAATATCCACCATCCTTAGAAACCCCAAAGATAAAATTGAATTAGAAAATCAAGGAGTATACGAAATCCCATGCACCACTTGTCCCACCACATACATCGGACAAACCAACAGAAGAATAAGTGCACGCATTGAAGAACATAAGAACTCAGTCAAAAAAGAGGAACCAACATCTTCCCTGGTCCAACACCTTAAAGCCACAGGACATGAAATTGACTTTAAAAATACCAGAACCATTGCCAAAAGTGAACATTTTAATAACAGAATAATCAGAGAAGCCATCGAGATAGAAAAACGCCCACACAGCATGAACAAGCGAGATGATACCTCCCGCCTACCAGCCATTTGGAAACCCGCCCTTATTGACAAACGACTCCCTAACACAAAAAATGATACCAGACCCACACTCACAAAAACCACACAGGAGGTCACCACCACACATCCACGCAAAAAACAAACCCAAAGCCACACCGATGACGAGGCACGACCACAAACCAGAAGCCAGACCACAGCTGCATCATTAGCCACTTTAAACCCCTCCAATCCATACATGAAGCAAACTGACACCCTCCATGAAGAGGAAGCACGACCACGAACGCGAAGCCAAAAAATAACAAGGCAGCCCAAAATCTCAAACCCCTCTGCAACTCAGACTAACCTGAGCACAACCAAACAGAACACTCCCCCAGCCAATCAGAGCACAGCCAAGCCCCTAACCATTCAGAACACACCTCCACCCAATCAGAACACAGCCAAGCTCCCACCCAATCAGTTCATACCCCCACTGGCAGTTAAAAGGAAGAAACAGCTAAGACCACACATTGCTGCTCAAAGCACGAAGCTGAAAACACCAGCCTGAAGATGACAAATGGGACTTCGTCAAAACGTCGCCAAGACACTTCCAATTTTACGCGGGAGAAAACCCGAACCAAAGATAGATAGATAGATAGATAGATAGATAGATAGATAGATAGATAGATAGATAGATAGATAGATACATAGATATGCCAATAACTCATCAAGTCAATAGTACCATAATTTATGAATTTGACAGATGAAGGAGACTTAATGTAGTAGATATCAATTAGTATATTCAGCAAAAGCTGCAAAAAGGCAAATTGAGAAACGATTTTGCCAAGTATTATTGAAGAAAATTTTACATATTACCCAAACAAGAACCAAAGATAACTTGAAACCCAAAATAAAACTATATCATATCAATATCAAGTTACATAGCTCAGTTTCAATTATTGGGATTTTTATGCTAAAGGTGCCTTGCTCACCTGGAGAAAGTATGTAAAAAATTTTTTTGAACTCATCCATCCAAACTTCTGCAAGTCGTCTATTATTTTTATTAATAATTTGTCCAGTGCCTCCTGGAAAAGTATAAGGAGTGGCTTTTCGAAAAACATGTCCCACATGTGAACATGTTACGATTTCCAAAGTTCCTCCACACTGCCAAATCTGAAAATGCCAAAAAAAACCACTATTAAAAATCATTTAAAATAATAAATATAGTTCCTATACAATTCAAAATAAATTATAGTTGTATATTAAAACCTGACCTGTAGAGACTGAATTCTCAGGTGCTCCCTTTGTATCACTCCATTCTGGCATATGAACAAGGCTTATGTATGCCTTTAATAACACTGCAGAAACATTTATGTGAAGATTCTTCTGTTTCTACTGAAAAATACACCCAAACACATGGAATTTAAAAGGATATTTCTTACTCTGAATGAAATCTCAAGGTTTTCTCCTCCCCATATATCCATTCCAGCATCATATGTTCCAATTTCTTGAAAATAATCTCTGTCTATGGAAAAGAGGCCTCCTGCCATTGTAGGTGTCCTAAAACAAGAATAAAATTTTCTGAACAGAAATGTGATATTTATCAATATTTAACAATGAACTCAAATGGTGAGTGCCAGTCAAAATGAAGATAAAACCAGACCGCTAAGAAACAAGGAGACATTGACTTACTCCAGAACTTTGGAGATATTCACTACAACATTCTATTATGTACAGCACAAACTTTTTTCATTACCCAAACTGGTTATTGAAAAGTCCTTTTTACTGCTTATCAAGAGAGTCCTTATTTAAACTCCTGGTCGTCATTGAATAATGGGTTTGTGTATTATTACCAAAGAAAAACCATTGTTTCCCAATTTCCGGTAATTTACCCAGATTCAAGAAGCACTACTGTGGAGAGTAAAGAAAATAACTTTGATGGAGATTACAAGAGCAACAAAGTGAAACACTGCTTAAATTAAAACAATAGGGGAGGATTATGAAAATGACTCAGACACTCTCGCCCCCCCCCCCAGCAATTCACATGAATGTAATACAGAGATGAGGAGAGGAGTAATCAGACTTGCAAAATCTATATAACCAATCTAAATAAATACATTTTGGGGTCTATTATGGAGTCTGCTTTGTAGGGTTGACAATTATCCAATTTGCATTACTCCAAAATCAAAGCATATTTATAATGTTATAACTAAAATAGTATAAAATATTTTTTTCCTTATTTAAGGTATATGTAATTCAATAGGATTAACTTTTTTTTTCTACCTCCTGGGTCTATTAAACTTTGTGGAGATGATTTTTATGAAGTTTTTACAAAAAAAAAAAAAGATTAGCAAAACAGCTAGATTCTGAGCTATTCATAGATTCCAATTCCAGCCTCCCTCTTCTTTTATTAATTGGACTATAATGATTGTGAAAATCAGGAAACAGCAATAATAAGTATTAAAAAAAAGAAAAGAGATTTTCTAGATAATTATTGTCTAATAATTTATTAAGGATAATCAGCAAATTTTAAATGTGCTTTGAGATCCTTTGCCATTTATTGCAAGGATGAAGAATTAGAAAAAATATGAAAAAACAAGAGTTTTGAATTCTCAAATTGAGAAAACCAAAATTATGAAATATCTTGGAATATATTTTCAAGCTTCCAGTGGGAAAAATGCTTATACTATGTAATTCAGAAAATCATTTTTTATTGATCATAGAGTGCTTTATCTATTTCTGCTACCTTAAAGTTATTGTCTGCTAAAGAGTGCTCCCAGTTAGGTTCTAATGGTTACTACAGGCAGTCCTTGACTTATGATTACAATTGGGATCAGAATTTCCATTGCTAAGCAAAGCGGTTGTTATTTATTTATCTACTAAAATTTATATGCTGCCCATCTCACTATCCAGAGACTCTGAGTGGCTCAAGCGACTCTTATTAAATAAATAGTGTTCAATTTTACATTATTTTTTGCCATGTTGCTAAGCAATGCATTGCAGTTGTCAAGTTATGGTCATTGTAACGTGCCCATGCTTACATGATAAAAAATTGGACTTTAGGCAGTCTACCTGGTTTAAGACCAACCACAGAACTATTGCAACTACCCCCTTTACTCTATCTCAGCCAACCACTCTTAGCATGCATAAAGCTGTTGCAGCCCTGGAAGCCCAGGCCTTCTCCTTTACCCCACCAGGCCTAGAAGGCCTCAGTCAGTTATAGGGGCCAGCAGCATTAAATTGCTTCACTTACTTTTGTATTTTATTGAACTTCTGACAGGCACATCCAGACAATATGAGGTGCACCTTTCTATAGAGTCCACCTTACATCTGTCTTTAAGCAAGTGTCATTTTCACTATTGTTCAAAAGTTCCTTATACAATTTGGAGAAGTCTTCCAAACAAATGCCAGAATTGGCACTTGCTTGCAGAACAGTACAAGGCAACCTCTGTAGGAAGGCCATGCCTCACATCAGTTGGGCACACCTGTCAACAGCTGCAGAAAAATATAAAGGTAAGTGGAATACTTCATGCATACTGCTGGGCCTTTAATCAGCTGAGCCTCCTGGACACGAAGTGGGAAGCAGACCGGTTTCCTGGATGTGGTGGGATGGGAAGAAGGCTGGGGCTTTCTGGCCCATGGCAGGTTTCCACAGACTCATGGGGTGAGGAAGGCCCTGGCCACATACTGCCAGGACTTCACCAACCCCATAAAGAAGCCCATACTCTGCTTAACAACCTGTGTGATTCGTTAACAACAACCAGGAAAGCCAGGATTGCTGTTGTTAGCAAAAAGGTCATGTTATATCTTGCTTAATGACTGCTTTGCTCAATTACCAGAAATTTCAGATTCAGTTGTGGTTGTAAGTTGAAAATTACCTGTAAATTCCATCACAAAGGGCTGTAATGTTAAGCCAGGGCAATATTCTACCAACTGCTATACAACTGGCAGGTATTAAAAAATACCCTATGCTACCCATTTATGCCCTCATGGCAAAGGCACTGTAGAATTACTGCTCATACTTCATTATGCCACATGAAATTATACTCATTTACTCTCCCATAGCAAATACTGTGTATATGAATTCTTATTACAGTATAAGCCTTCCTCTCTACCACTCCAATGTTGCCAAATTCTATATCATATTGTTATTAAAAATAGGCAAGAGATGACATTCTCCAACAGTTTTTGTTGACTGAAACAAAAACTTTCAGTAACAAGATGCAAAAACCCTTACTGTTAACATATTAACTACATCTAACAGCTCTATATTTAGAATTTTAAATAATAGAATATAATTCTTTAGTTTTTGGTTATGGATATAGTTTTAGCTTTAAACCACACAACGATTCTCAGGTTTTGGACTATTTTTAATTCAGGTTTTAGATTGTCTTAGCTTTTTTCGCTCTTTCATTTATACGTGTCTAATTCTTGGAGACTGCTTAGACAAGTCTCTTCAGTTTTCTTGGCATGATTTTTTCAAAAGAGGCTGCCATTCTTTTCTTCCTAAGGGGAAAGAAAGTGACTAGTCCAAAGTCACCCAACTGGCTTTGTGCCTAAGAGAAGACTAGAATTCTTGATTCTAGTCTAATGTCTTAACCATTACCCCAAACTGGCTTCTCCTTTTTAACTTAGTATTAAATACATTAGGATAGCATATGCCAAGGCATAGAAAGTCATCAAAATGGATGGTTCTTTAAGGTGCTACTGTTTTCTGAATTTTTATGCTGATCTTTGACTGAAATAAATATGATACTAATATTGAGCCAAGACATATTAAGTTCAATCAGCTACACAGACTGGTCTGGTTCATGCAATGGTTCCTTTATATTAAGCTATAGAAAAATATATGGGTTACAAAGATGCTATAAATCTGTTCATATTAGGAACAGGGTCTATATAGATTGATTCTCATTACACTATTTGTTTTGGGCATTATGCCAGATCTTTATTGCATATTTATTTATTTAAAATATTAATAAGTCAACTTTCAGGACAAAATTCTTCTCAATATGTCCTTAATAAATAGTGTAAAAAAATCAATAAAACACTTATAAATCAAAAAGTTAAAAATCCCCATATGTTGTCATTAACAGATGATATCACAGGTATTGATCATATAACATTATGATCAATTAAGAGTTTTACATTACAGTAACACTTTTTGGTAAAATAGAAAAGTTACTGACTAGGTTACCAACCTCAGTCATATTTATATCTTATGCAGCATTCCCTGCAAATATTTTGGGAAAGTAATTATCAGTGTGATTACATTTTGGCCAGTATGCCACAAATGTATTGAAACTTCATTTCACCCAAAAATATTCATACTACCCTATACAAGCCAAAATGTCTAAATTAGAGATTATCTTGCAAGCCAACACTATCCTGATAACCTCAAGTTACAATTATTTTATAGATAGTCCTCCGGTTACAACCATTTGTTCAGTGACAGTTAAAAGGTACTGAATGAATAGTAGTTCCCACCAGTCTCTGAAGTTCCAGCCATTGAGCTTTCCCAGTATCACATGATCAAAATTCAGATGCATGGCAATTTGCCTATATGTTTGACATCACTTGCCACTCATTACCAACTCCTACTTCTCTTCCATCTCCCTCCATCTTTTCCCTTTTACTCATTCTGCAATTTAACCTCTATCTCAGCTGCCCCACCTGACTTTTGCTGCCTTCTTTCTCCTGTTTTTGATGAAGGGTACCCAGCAAAGGCAGCTGCTGATCCTTTGTGAGGACTTTCCAAAGTCTTGAAAAGCTACAGTGAAGTTTATGAGGCCTTGGGGGAGGCCACATGGAGAAGCAACAGGGATAGGCAGCAGCAATGGAGTGCAGGGTGGTCAAAACAGCAGAAATGGGGGGAGGGAGGAGATGTAAGAGGAGTAGAAGTTGTGGGTAAGTATGATAGGACAGACGTCCTGGCCTAACAATCACAACTGGGACTATTGGAACTCCCACTACTAAATAATGCAGTCATATGAAGTTTCACTATGAACACTTTGCTTAACAATGACAGTTTAGTCCTAATTAGAGCTACAACCTAAAGACTACCTATTCCAAAAATATTTGAAACTTTTAATTATTTACATATTCATTATAACTTGTTCATATATTTATAAATGATCTTTTAAAACAAACTCATAATGGTATTGGTATCCAGTAATGCAAAACAAATAATTTATCATTTTAGCTCTGTATTCTCATCACTATATACAAACACAAAGGCAATAATTATTGCAAATGTATTATTTGGCTTTAATACTGGAATTCTTGAGTATGTTGCATGTCCTTATAAATTTTATTAATAAATAACTTCTTAATTTGAAAATAAACCAACAACATCCATTTCTTGCTATACTGTCTTCAAAAATATTCTGAATTGCATGGCGTTTGTCAGCTTTTCTCAACCAGCTAGGTGAGAAATTGGCAGGAATAAATTTCTACAAGCGTGATATGGAGCTTATAGGGAAGCTGATGTGGAAATCATAGAAAGGTTGTGAAGCCATTACAAATGCATTACAAATGCATAATTATGATAAACTAATGGTTCAAATTTTATTTACTTATTTGTCATATTCATATTGTCCATCTCATAAAACATGACTTATTGGTTTAAACAGTGTAACAGCTTAAAGATTATTATTTTTGAGTGGAGGAATAGTTTCCATCTTCCTTTGGTTTTGGAAATGGACTAGTGATTTCAAACTATTTGACTGTGAACTTCTGAGAAATATAGTTAATTAATTCATTAATCATAGAGCCTAATACTTATTTATTAATTCATTACTCATAGAGCCTTATACTATATCCTCAAAGGAATATCCATCAAACTGAATATCTATTAAAGTATTCAGTTTAATCAAGAATCAGTTTTCTTTACCTAACTGGAAGAGTCCGATCACCTTTCCTTCTATCCATTTCTCTCTGAGGAACAGGATACCATCGGAAATTTAACTTCCAGTTGAATCCTCCATAAGTCATATCAGAGCCTGCCATATATTCAAATGTGTCATCACTGATTACATCAATGATAGGACAAACTACAATTTTCCTAGAGAAATAAATGACATGGATTGTTATAGACAAAAGATAATAACAGTGCTATGTGTTATTCACTGCGGGGAGCAATTATGCAGCTTATTATTAATTGATTTTCATCCTACTTATTAAACATTGGAGACTAACTATAATAAGGACAAGCCTATTAGAGCCCTATATGTCACTAAATCATCTGGACACTTGTTCAGATTCAGATGTAGAGAATGAACTATTACAAAGATTATATCCAGTTAGCTTTAACAAACTAATATTCCACACAAAACATGTGAGATTCTTTGAAGCTCTATAGTTTTCAAAGTAAAATAGTAGCAAACTACAGCATTAACATTTGATGGACCCATATTAAAGTCTTCTTCGCTTTAAAAAAGCATCTGTATTAAAAAAAAGTCTGAGGAAAAGCAGTGATAGCTGAAATTATAGGAATTTCAATCCAGTATATACACACACCTCATTTAAATATGGTTATGTTCTGTTGCTTATTTTTGTCAAAACATGATCTACTGCACAATAAAACCCTCAAAAGGATCTACAAAGTTTAATCAATGTTTTGAAAGAGTATTGTTATAAACTCATTTAACTAAATTAATAAATATTAATCTTCAACACATTTTATAAAATAACCACCTGTTAGCTTTAATCCGTGCTAACAGAGGCTCAAGCCAACCTAGAGTGCATTCACAATGAGCATCTAAAAAGGTAATGACTTGGCCTTTGGAGGCAGCAGCTCCTTTCAATCTGGCTCTGATGAGTCCAGAACGCTGCTCCATTCGAATCACATACACTGGTATTCGTAATTTTTTCACAAAGTTTTCCAATGGTCTCTTCAAGAAGTCTGAAAAACAGTGTTGAACAAAAAGTGACTTAAATGTTTCTTGCATATAAACCCTTAATAGTATTAGTCAAATTCGTAGGCTGACTTTGATCTAAATTACCTCTCAATTTGATCAGTGACAAGACAATTCAGCAGAGTTGTCCTTCCTTTTTTTTGGCAATTCTTTCTGAAGAAACAGAAAGTTTGACTCACCATGAAGTTTTTTCTGGATGCAGAATATGCAAGTGACATAGTTAACAAGAAGGTAGAGCCTTCTTACTCTATCTTTACAAGAAGTAGGAACTTGATATGCATAAAGTAGACGAATATCTGCAAAGACAATATTTACCTAAACTTTCACAAGCTTAAAGACAACTTATGAATGAACCAGTAACTACTTTTGAAATACCAAAAACTATTAAAAATGAAATCAGGTAAAACTCCAGATCTAGATGGTCTTACAAGCCAACATTATAAATGCTTTTAGAATCAACTCCTTCAGCCACTAAAGCAGAGGTGTCAAACTTGCAAAGTCACATAATGTGTTGCAACGTATCGCAACTTTTTTTTTCCATTGCCAGCAATGGGGTGGGCACAGTTTTGCCATGACGCATCCGGCCTGTGGGCCGGCAGTTTGACACCCCTGCACTAAAGGACATAATGAATGGAGTATTACAGGGAACAAAAATACCTCAAACCTGGAAAGAAGGTAATATTGTGTTATTACTAGAAAAGTGTAAACAACTATAGATCAATTCCATTATTAAATAATGATTATAAACTTTTCACTGCAATTTTGGCAGAAAGATTGAAGAAAGTTTTACAGCCATATATACATTAAGCTTAATCTGGCTTTTTGCCAACAAGACAATTAAAGAGACAATGTGAGGACTGTTTTGAAAATTATTGAATACCTGCAATATCATGAGAAACAGGCAGCTTTAATAGTTTTTGCATACAGTAAAGGCCTTTGACAATTTAAATTGGATTTTTATGTTTAAAGTTTTGGAAGATACGGCTTTTGGGGAGAAATTTATTCAAGGGGTTAAAGCAGATTATATGTCAGAACAAGCAAAGATTATTATTAATGGAGATTTAACTAAACTATGTGAAATTCAAAAAGATACGAGGCAAAGATGCCCCTTATCTTTTCTGTTGTTTATATTGGTATTGGAAGCTTTGAATAGGAATATTAGGCAAGATGAGAAAATAACAGGTACAAATATCAAAAAGGAAGTTTATAAATTGAAAGCATTTGCTGATGATTTAATTATATTTTTGAAATGCCCAAAAAACTAATATAAAATATTTGATAAAGAAACTAAATGAGTTTGGAGCTTTAGTGGGCTTTAAAATAAATAGAAAATAACAATGCTTTTTAAGAATATGACCACTTATGATTATGACATATTGACTAAAAAGTTGGGTTGTAAGGCGGAGAAAAAGGTGAAATACCTGACAAATATAAATGCTAAACTGTTTCAAAATAATTTTGTGCCTCTTTGGAATGATATTAAAAAGGCTTATTAAGGGTTGCTTCCGGTGGTTTAAGCATCGGTGATGGCGGCTACTTTGTAGCCGTCCTCCTGGGAAAGCGTGAGAACCGCGAAGAACAGCAGGCACCAGCTGTTCCGCGGCTCGAAACCTCCCTCCCGGGCGAAGGGGGGGAGGGGAGTATCACCTGAATAGGGGTACAGCCTCTTAAACCCCCCAGGAATTTTTTCTCTGGGGGGTGAAAAGAGAGCTCCCTCGGAGTTCAGGTTGTCTCCGCCTCCCAGCTGTCTTTGTTCCTCTGGGAACAAAGCAAACCGCTGCTTCCACCTCCGTGCTTAAAGGAACTGGGTGAGTTATTTTTAAAAGCGGACAGAGCTGGATAAAGGATTTGATTTATTGGATGTTATTTGGACTTTAGTTTGAAAGGCTGACCTTTCTTTTTTTTCTTTGTTTTTTTTTGTGTGGAGAATGAAAGTAAAATGGCGATTTGGAAGTTTTTTTTTTTTCTCTTTCCGGAAAAAAGTGAGTGAAATGGAATGTTATAGACTACATGGTTTTCTTTTAAACTTTTTCTGAAGGTGAATTTGTGTTTTGGAATGATTTTTTAAACTCTCCTTTGTTTTTTATTTCTTTTTCTCTTTCTGAGGATTTTTTTATTGTTTTTTTTAAGAAGGAAGAAAGAAGAAATAAGATTTTTTCCTTTTTTTAAAATGGCTTCAAAGAGGCAAGCAGCTTCTACAGTACCCAAGGTGGCTTCTTCTCCTGCGATCCTACTGGCACAACAACCTAAAGCTACACCACCACCTTCTCCTCCTTTGCCAGCAATAACGGTACAAGATATGAAAGACATAATGGGAAGTGCTGTGTCTCAAATCAGAGGGGAAATGAAGGAGCTTTTAGAGCAGAATAAAACTCAAATTAGAGGGGAAATGAAGAACCTTTTAGAGCAGAATAACACTATTCTGAGGCAAGACATAGTTATGGCTTTAACAGGACTTGCTTCTGTGGTTGAGAAGTTAGATTCTAGAGTGGAAGAGGTGGCAGACAAGGTGGAAATTTTGGAAGACAAATTTGAAGGTATGGAAAAAAGATGGAAATTTCACAAGATGATATTGTTATGTCTCAGTACAGAGAGATGGAACATGCTTTAAGAATCAGGGGTCTGAAAGAAGATATGCAGCAAGATCTGAGAGAGATTGTGGTAAATGACTTTGCTGTTATTTTGAATAGAGAGAAAGAGGAAATATTCAGAGAAGTTGAAAAAATTTATAGAGTTAACTCCTGGGTTGCAAAGCAAAAAAATTTACCAAGAGATGTGGTGATTTATTTTGCAAAGAGATCTCTGCGTAATGAAATCATACAAGCTTTTTATAATAAGAGGTTCCAGATCGCTGCTCAAGATGTCATCATTTTAAAGGAGATCCCATCTAAAATTCTAAGAAAGAGAAAAGAGTTTGCTTTTTTAGCTAACGAACTTAAAAAAAGATTGATGCCATTCAGATGGGAGATTCCGATGGGTATGGTTGTGAGCCATGCGGGGACACGTTACAGACTTAATACAGTTTCTAAAGCTCGGTCCTGGGAGCAGGCTCACCACCACCTACGATGCAGAAAGTTTTGGATGGTAAAGAGATGGAACAGCAGTCTGAAGGTGTAGGAGTGATGGTTGGTGGAAAGTTACAGGCGGAGTGGTCACAACAAACAGAGATCAAAGAGCAAAGAATGACTCGTGCAGCACACAGACGCAAGGAAAAGGAACAACAGAAGAAGGAAGTTAAAGAATCTCTTCAAGAAATTGTTTCGCTGCCGGTGGGAGGAGCAAGACCCAAGAGTTCTGCAGTACATTCTTCAATGGCAGATCTTCAAGCAGTCTTCTCCAGGCTTCTGGTTAAGGGAGATGGTAAAGCTCCTGACTTGGAATGCTAATGGCCTTAATTTCCCCCAAAAGAGAAAGAAAATCTTTCATTATTTAAAGCAACATAATAATGATATTATTTGCTTGCAGGAAACACATATTATATCTAAAGATCAAAAATATCTAGTTAATGCTCGTTTGGGATCTCATTTTGTATCTTCTGCTCCTGGGAAAAAAGGGGGAGTAGTTATTTATGTTAAGCAAAATCTATCAGCCTGTTTGGTAGAATCTGATCTTCAAGGGAGATATGTTATGATTGAAGTTGGTTTGTATGGTAAGAAAGTACTTATAGTGGGACTGTATGCACCAAATCAACAACAGGAACAATTTTATAGATTGTTACACCAAAAATTAACCCTGTTGGATTACAGATCTGTTATACTAATGGGAGACTGGAATGGTGTTTTAGATACACAAAGAGACAAAAAAGGATCTTCTATTTCTTTTAAACAGGCTAAATTACTTAAAGCTTTTTTGATCTGAAAGAGGACTGGGAGCTGCGAGATTATTGGCGTGAACACAATCAGGAGGAGAGAGATTTCACTTTCTTTTCAGATAGACATCAATCTTTTTCAAGAATTGACTTTTTCTTGATTACAACTGACTTATATTTTAGGGTAAAGAATGTTAAATTTTTTCCCAGGACATTGACGGATCATAGTCCAGTTTGGATGGAATTGGTCGATGAAAAAGAGGAGAGGAGATCGTGGAGGATGAATGAAAATTTATTCAGACAAGAAAAGAATGTTCAAAAATTAAAGGAGCATTTAAAGGATTATTTTGTTTTAAATATGCATAAGGGAACTTCAATGTCAATGGTCTGGGATGCAGGCAAAGCCTTCATGCGAGGGATTTTGATACAAATGAATAATGTTCATAGACAGAAGCAGATTCAGAAACGCAAGGAATTGGAAGATGAGATTAAATTAAAAGAAAATACTTTGATTTTAAATCCTACAGATGAGAAGGTTAAAGAATCTATAAAACTGCTTAAATCACAATTTAATATGTTGATGGCTGATCAAACTGCAACTAATTTATTGTATATGAAACAAAATACATTTTGCAATGCTAATAAACCAGGGAGATGGTTGGCTTACCAACTGAGAAAGAAACAGAGACAGAGAATTATAGATAAAATAAATTATAATGGTAAACTGGTATACCAGAAGGAGTTGATTAAGAAATCTTTTTTAGATTATTATCAAAAATTATATAAGAGTACCAAAGTACAGGTTTTAGATATAGATAATTATCTAAATGAAGCCAACTTCCCTAAATTAACAGAAGATCAGAAACAAGAAATTAATAGTTTGATTACTAGTGAGGAAATTGAGACGGTGATTAAAGAATTAAAATTAGATAAAGCACCGGGTACTGATGGCTTGACATCTATTTATTATAAAACTTTGGTACAAGAGATGATTCAACCTTTAAGTGAGCTCTTTAATAACATATTACAGGGTTTAGAGATCCCTCTGTCATGGGGTAGAGCTTTTATATCTCTAATTCCAAAAGAAGATCAAGATCTTACTTTACCAAAGAATTATAGACCCATATCTCTCTTAAATGTAGATTATAAGATTTTTGCAAAAATCTTAGCTAATAGGCT